GTGTTCAATTTCATTGTTCTTTTAGGTTAACCAAACAAGAAAATTCACAAATTTTAGAAAATAAAATCCCATCATTTTAAAATTCCTTAAGAATCTAAAATTTCTTATTCCAAACCTAGTGTTATTGTATACAAGACAACTAGGGCATTTGTGAAATCCCGTTCCTAGATTTCATTATTATAATCTACGTATTGGTATTATAGAGATTTTATATTATTTTTTGGGAAATTAATTATTTAAAATCCGTAGAACATTTGAGGTCACAATTTATATTGTTGAATAGATATCGAGATCATGAACGCATAGGCGAAAGCCGTTTGCGAGTCCGGATTATAACGGTATAGTTACAGACATTTGAAGTTGTTGTTAAAAAAAAATAAATGAAAAGAGAAGAAAAAGCCACATGAGTGGCTGAAAGAGAAAGGAAAAAAGAAAGCCACGGAAATGGCGGGGGGAGACAGAAAAAAAAAAGGGAGTTTTAACGAAAAGCCTACGGTACTTTTCACTTTAACGAAAAGCCACATTTTTATACTAAAAAGTCAAACCTGTTACTATTCACTTTACCCTTTATTTTGTCCTTATCATTAAAACTCAAAGTTTTCAAGCCCTTTTCATTAGTTTTCCTAAAAAAAGGGGGGGGGGATGGAAAACGGGTCTTTTGACCCGTGAGACACAAACCGGCAGAATTCATGGTCTCCCGGCCAATTTCCAGCGAGATGAAGGTCCCCCACCACCTGAAGGTCATCTCTCATCATTCCTCCTACCTATTCCACCCCAAATTGGAGTGGAATTAGTCTTGAAATTTTGGGGAACCTGCACCATAGGTGACGCGGGAACCATTGATCGAAATCCATCAATTGTGAAACGTTTCCCTTCAAATACTTCTACCAAAGCAATCCCTTAGAACTCAGGAACAAAGCCCAAGTAGTGGTGGAGGCGTCAAAGCAAACACACCCATTCTAAGGTTTCCGTACGGTTTTCGCAAAATTGGGACTTTCTAGGCCAAATTGGACTTCGCCACAGGCATAAAGTTTACTCTACTCTTTGAGATCTTCAATTCTGTAATTTTTGGGAATTTTTTAAAATAGTTGAATTTTTCGGCCAGTCGGGGCGGCCGACCGCCACCCGAGGCGGCGCGTGGCCTGTGGGCCGATGATGTCTTTTTAAGCACTATTAGATGCCCTGGGTTCATGTTTGATATCCGTATGATGTAATTTGATTGTTTGGAGTTAGTTTCATTTTGATACGTGAATAGGTCAAAATAGAAATCGACGATCCGACCGTTGAATCATCACCAAACTTTAATATGTTATAGTACATAATATTTGGGGATCATAGGAGCTTAAAAATTGGGAATCCGATGTATGGATCTTTCTGACTTAGATTTCTAAGTTAGTAAAATTAATTGTTAACCGCCACCTAATTCTAGCAATGGGAGTTGATCCAACCGTCGGATCGTGATGAGATTTTAGTACGTTGTTCTTTGAGAATAATGTGGACCCTAGGAAGTTACGGATTTAGATTACGATGTGCAGATCTTCTGGATCAAATTTTGTAGCGTTGTGGATCCTACTGTTAACCGAGAATTGACTTTTGGTCAACATGTCTCGAAACGTTCTAAATACTAAAATTAGTACTACGGGGATCTAAGTGAAGCCTAGTGGGACCACATTGGTTTGAGAGTGACTTGAATATATGTGATATAGCTATTACCTTGATTTTTTATATTAATATCATCTGTGATAGGATATGGGTTATAAAAAAAAAATATATATATATATATACACACACACCATAGACCTATGTTTATTGAATGTAAATTCTATTGAAGTGTTATTTTTATTTCTGGCCATCGATCTATTTTCATTAAGTATGATTTGACTTGTGCTTGGGAAATATGGTTATTGTATGATTGGATTGATGTGATGAAATGTGAGGGCTAGTAGTGGACCGTTAACCTATTGGCATGAGGTTTGTTACTTAGACACTTGTTTCACATCTTGTTTCATTATTTCACTTTTTGTGTCATTCAACCCTTCTAAATTAAGTACTTGGTTCTTGTATTGTTTCTACAAGCCGTTGTTGTATCCCTTGGTCTTCCACTCGATTCCGTTGAGTGATGGTCCAGAATCCCTTCGATTCTGCAATTCCGTTAAATGATGGTCTGGAATCGTATCCTGGCTCGGATACCGTTGAGTGATGGTCCAGAATCGTATCCAACTTGTATTCCATTGGGTGGTTCTAGTCTTGCATGTCAGTGTGTTGTATGGGTTATTATTTGGTGTGATTATTGGATGTTGTTGGATGTAATTGTTATGATTATGATATACCGTTGACCAATATGGCTATAGATTATTATTGCGCCTCGTCGATTGTTCCTTGATATGTTGCACGCTCTGAATTGTGCATTATGTTGAAATATGGCAATTTATGTGATGAATATTCGAGTGTAGTGAAAAGTTGAACTACAAATGGCTTGATCCCTATTGAGGGTACGTAGGCAGTCTAACGAAAAGGTTAGATGCAGCCATAAAGTATACGCAAAATTATTATGCATCTGGATCTTGAATTATATTTTGTACATATCTAAAAGGCGGGGTACGTTGAGTTACGGGCATTTAGTGACGTCACGTGTCGATCTTGGACGTATGTCGGGATTGGGGCGTGACAGCATTCGTCGACATGATTCCCAGTAGCAAATAAGCAAACCAAAACCATATCAACAAATCAATAAGAACCGCACTATGCGTTGCAAGAACGGATCTATAACTACAAGAAGCAATTTGGTTGGATCTGGGGTACCCAATAGTCAACACACATACAATATAAGTTAGGAATGAAGACTGTTGTGTCAGTTGGCTATACCAAAAGATTTTTTGGCATCCGGAGGATTATTCTTCCATAGAAATTTCCGAAGATGAGAAAGTTGAACTAGTCAAATATCAACAAGTTTGAAAAATCAACTATTTATATATATGAGGATCCTGATTGATGTGTTACGTTGATTTGAAGAACGGTCTTGAAGTTATGGAGTGGACATTCATTTAAAATTAGCAAAAAAAATGTAATAATTAGAAAAAGGGTTGTCTAAATGCTGGGGTACTCATTGATGCATGACCTAAAATAGAGGAAAAATCATACAGTTTAATTTTCAAGTAGGAACAAAAGTGGCAGGTTCCAAGTTGGAATAATACAATTTCCACACAATTAGGACAAAGAAAGAAGTCTTACTTTGTAAACGATAGAGACTCTTGCATACAACTTACGACATCCCACACTTTTTCTACGAGAGTGGGCCTTGGTGATATAAAATTACAAGGGGGATTCGTGTGTGTGGCCGATCTAGAGAGTGTTGAGAGTTGTCCCACATCGGTGTGGGACAAGGTTTGCTATGTGCTTATATGGTATTGGGCTACTCCTTATATTGCCAATTGGTTTTTATGGTGGAACCTCAATTTCATCATGGTATCAGAGCAAGGTTGTCCACGTGTGAAGTCCAATGACCACACGTGCTCCAGGTCACCCAGTTGTTGTCCACATGTAGGCTTGAAAATCCGCCACACGTACGGGGGCGTGTTAGAGTGTTCCCATATCGGTGAGGGACAATGTTTGCTATGTGCTTATATGGTCTTGAGCTACTCCCTATATAGCCAATTGATTTTATGGTGGAACCTCAATTTCATCAGAGATGTCATACACCAGATTAAGATTTCCTCCGTTACGTAACTCCATGAGTCCCATAAATTCATATTGGTTTAAACCAGTTCAACGACACTTCAACGTCTGACTAATGTTGTAAGAGGTTTGGGGCGTCTGAGATGACTTAAATGCAGATGAAGGAAATTTTTCGTATTTAAACAAATACAGCCATTTCACACAAAGTCACTCCTACCATCTGCAGAAAAACCCGGAACAAAGGAAATAGACATAATACTACAGGCTAAATCTTTTACACTATGTTTGGATGAGTGAAATAAACTTAGAATTTGGGTATAAGTTGACATGCATCAATTCTCTTATTTGGATTCATAAAAATAAAAATTTAGAATTTCCACGTGGGAAAAATAAAAACTTCTTAAATGAACTGATGAAGGTACTCAACAGGAAAAAATTGTAGCAATAATCCCCGAACTAAAAACTCGTGATATTGGTTTCTAAACTTATTATAATGTGAACAACGATAATTTTGGCCAACTCCGTTAGAACTTCATCCATTTTTTATCCCTCTAAACCCTTTATTTTCAATAGTAGATAATAAAATAAATAGCAAAAAGAATCATTGCTTCACATTACCTCATGGATTGTTAGTTCAGAAACTAAAGCTCTGATTAAGCTAAAGTTCAAGGATCATTGCTTCAATTACCTCACCGTACAAAATCATCCTAAAAATTGAAAACTTTATGCAGAACCACAATAAAAAATTGATTTGGAGTTCAATACCAAGACAAACAATTCATCTATAAAGTTTTAAGGGAAGTGATTTTTACACAATTTTTCTTCCGTTACACAACTATGTTTATTTCTAGCAGTAGGACATAAATAAACCGGCTGCACAGAAGGATACGAGGGTGAAAATCATTTCCCAAGTTTAAATCGTTTCACAGAAACCCACTCCTACTGTGAACACAAAACCCCAAACACAGGACATGTATATCTAATACAACCATAGCACCATTAATACATGAAATTCATAAGGATCAACTATGTTTAGTCAAAACTATCCAAAACTTAGCAGGCTTAAAACGTTTTATTACATACGAAACAATTAGGCAATTCGTCAATATTCATTCCAGCAGAAAATAAGCAAATCAATCAAAAGCAAACAAACAAATCACTAAGAAACAGTATGCGATGCAAGCTGAATTTTGAATGAGATCCTATTTCCGTTACCCGCAGCATAACATATATAAGTTTCATCATAAATGTGGAAATTTATGAACCAAAGTATGCCACAAACACGATACGAGCAGAAAATGACACTCTCAACAGACTAACGGAACTGAGTAAAAACAATCACATAAAAGACAGGAAGATCATAAAAAGATCCAAGTTATCCCATTAATGTTTAAGAAAAGATGCCACGAAGAACACCGATACTCAACGCAGAGTGATTCTCACAAAAGTTATATACACTGTTATTATTCATGATTACTTCCAAAGGAAAAGTTTTTCAGGTACTGCCAAAGTGCCCATCACCATTTCAGCTTTTAATGTGTCCCATCAGCCTTCTGCAAAAGAGAAACGACTGATATATGTGGAATTGAAGTAATGAATGAAATCCAGTCATACTATAGGAAGAATGTCTTAGAAGTAGTAACCGATTAAAATTAGAATAAACCAGTCAAAACTCATCACTAGCACAAGTATCTGGTTGAAGTAATATATATGAATTAGAAGATATTCTTCAGTTGAAATGGGGAAGTAGAAACTTCAATTACATTACACAGACTTTAACATTAGTTGATACATAATCAATCCAACAGATACGCTATCATCTTCACAAATTGTAAGGGAGTCAAGGACAAGAAAACATAACAGACTCGTTCCAAGACTTATCACTGCAGATTCAATACAAGAATTGAAACAAAAGCTTCCCCGAAAACAAGAACTGGAGAACAAGACATCATCAAGGCAGATTTTAAAATGCTCCATATTCATGAAAAATTTAAAGATGCATGAGTAAAAAAAGTATTATATGAGCTCATGCATAAAAGTTTATCTAATATCCAGACATCTATCAGAGAAACCTCATTATAGCAAGGCTCATACATAAAAGTAACCGTAAATGATATTACATGCATACATCTCTATTTAAAAAAAAACAAATGCATCCTACTCTAGCGTTTGCGGTTAAAATTTCATGATCGATGCAACAACAAAATATTCTACCACATCAAGTGAAAAGGACATGTGGTGTAATTTGTTAGTATTCAAGCAAAATCGCTAGGCCATCAAACAGGCCACATAGGTTTATTCAAAGGGCTGTCTCCCAAGGATACTCTACACTTTGTAAGAAAACAAATGATCTAGTTTTCAAAAAAATGCAGACTTTTCACTATAAACCGATGTTCCGTTTTTACCCTTGAGGTCATCTGTAAGACTAACATAGAACCCAAGAGCCAGCAATTCTCTCTCATTCATCTAGAATAAGCAACCAATTTGAAGTTATTGAAAGCGCTTGTTGAAGGAGCTGCAATCTATCTTTCTTTTTATCATTCTTTTTTTGGTGATTGAACCCATTCATAAATAAGCAACTAGATGCAGAGAAAAATGTAGCTTCCCCTAATGTACGCCATGTACCTCAACAATGACATTTTAAGATCAGATTGCAGGAAACCTCGATGATAAGTATAGACGTTCTCACTAGTAAGCCTAAGTCTCAAAGTTGGTTAAGAAAAACAGATTGACAAAACTGTGATGTGAAGGCTAATTAAGCAGGTGAAATGTAGGACATGGTCAACCGTGCCAATGGGCCAAGGAGACCAAAAATAAAGCTAACCCGAGTGATCAAACATCGCGAAGAGACGCCTCACTTTCTGCAATTGAACAATTTCCAAATGTCATTTTTATGTGCGTGTGTGTGTTCTTGCTTACTAAAATGCACAATTCACTACGACATACAGCAACAACAGTTTTCAACTATCTTGTAATTACGCAGACACAGCAAGAAATCACAGATCTCCGTAAATTTGTGACAGTCTCATTCGAAACAGTGCAAAATCCACACACACACAGAAACACACATATCCTCAATAAAGAATTAATCCGTACCTTATCAGCATTTTCTTTCGCTTTCTCGGCCTTTTCCTTCTCAGCCTTCTGCTTCGCCAATCTCTCCCTCTCCTTTCTCTTCACAAATTATAAAAAAATAAAAAAAAATAAAAAAAAAAAAAAACAGAACAAGTTGATTCGATCACAGAAATTCAATAAATTCAAAATATCATTTTTGATCGGACAAAACATAATAATAACATGAACACTGATTCAAATCTGATTGAAAAATTAGTATTATAAAACAAAGTTAAAAAAAAAAAATTAAAAGAGAGAGAGAGCTTGGAGTTGCGTACCTGGATGTAGACATTCTCGGCGGCACGCTCCTCCTCGCTGAGGACTTTGCCTGTGCCTGCGCTCAAGTAGCGAGTGGCTCCCCGAGACGACTCCATGGAGCGAGTGATCAACGCTCGAGTTAGCACCGCCAGGCTTTGACCGGATCTCATTGCCGCCACCGCTTTTTGCTTTCTAGTTTGTTCGTTTGTTTGTTTCTACTGCTAATAGTAAATTAGTAACAGAGCAACTTACACTTATATAGGGTGCAGCTCTATGGTTTAAAAAAAAAATAATACAAATATGTGAAGCTTGATCTTATCGGTTAAGTGATCTTATCCGTTTAAGTGAGATGGATCCATTATCAATGTTGAACAAATTATTAAAAGAAAAGGAGCAGCCGCCAATATCTGCAATTGTCATGAATTGAACAATCTTTTCTGTAAAATTGAATCCAAAATTTCTTATTTATAAGTAAAAAATAAATAAATAAATATTGGTTGCTTAATAAAATGTTGGAGCTGCTACTCTCAACCATAGTCTAAAATATCCATAATATTTCGATATTTTCATCAAAATTTCCGTGTTTTTGGACTACCGATATTTCCGATATCATCGATATTTTAGACCTTACTAAGTCACTCATGTATCTTACCATGCAATGTATAAAGTGTAAAATATTGTACTAATTCATTATATATAAACGATTATGGTGTGTTTAAACTTCTTTCCTTAATTACTACATATTTTCTACACTCACAATGTTTGTCAGCTCGCTATATAATCAACTTAAATAAGTTATATCTATCATGCAATGCATTTCATTCCAATTTTTTGTGATAAACTAATAGATAATTGACTAAATAAACATCCTGCAAAGTTTCAATAAAAATTTCCAAGTTTTTCTTACAATTTTCGTGGTTTTTATTCAATTTTATTGATATCGATAATATCCCGATATTTCCATCGAAATTTATGTGTTTTTGGACTGACGATATTTCCGATATCATCGATATTTTATACCTTGCTCTCAACCAATAACAATTTGATAAATTGAAAAATTAAAGCTTGAAAAAGCAACTTAAATATTTGTCAAGTTGTTATGGGATGAGAACAGGAACTCCTGTATTTGTTTTTTTGGTAAAAGACTGTTTACTACCCTAATGTTTCGTGGTTTTCAACATTTAGTACATCAAGTTTTTTTCGTCTCAGAGTCATACCTAAAGTGTAAATTTTGGGACAGTCTCATACATCCGTTAGTCAAACTGTTAAGTTTTTCGTTAACTATGACGTGGCTCACTGATTGGGCGCCACGTGTCATCCACGTTTTTTTTTTTTTTCCCTTTCTTCCTTCTTCTTCCTTCTTCTTCCTCCGAAATCTAGGGAATGTTTTTTTTTTTTTTTTCTTTCTTCTTCTTCTTCTTCTTCTTCCTCAAAAAAAAAAAAAAAAAAAAAAAAAACACTTTCATCTTTCCCCAAATTCGGAGAAAGAAGAAGAAGAACGAAGAAGGGGAAGGAAGAAGGAGAAGAAGGAGGAAGAAAAAAAAATTGAATCTGGGCAGATTCGGAGGAAGAAGAAGAAGAAGGAGAAGAAGGGGAAGGAAGAAGGAGAAGAAGGAAGGAAGAAAAAAAAAAGAAATTCAAAGAGAAGAAGAAGAAGAAGAAGAAGAAGAAGAAGAAGAAGAAGAAGAAGAAGAAGAAGAAGAAGAAGAAGAAGAAGAAGAGGAAGAAAAGATAAAAGTGTTTTTTTTTTTTTTTGAGGAAGAAGAAGAAGAGGAAGAAAAGATAAAAGTTTTTTTTTTTTTTTTTTTGAGGAAGAAGAAGAAGAAGAAGGAGGAAGAAGAAGAAGGAAAGAAAAAAAAAAAAACAAACTTCCCCAGATTTCGGAGGAAGAAGAAGAAGAAGAAGAAGGAAGAAGGGGAAGGAACAAGGAGGAAGAAGAAGAAAGAAAAAAAAAGCAGAAAGTTGCAGTCGGAGGAAGAAGAAGAAGAAGAAGGAAGAAGAAGAAAAGAAAAGAAAGAAAAAAGAAAAAGAAAAAAAAAACGTGGATGACACGTGGCGCCCAATCAGTGCGCCACGTCACAGTTAACGAAAAACTTAACAGTTTGACTAACGGATGTATGAGACTGTCCCAAAATTTACACTTTAGGTATGACTCTGAGACGAAAAAAACTTGATGTACTAAATGTTGAAAACCACGAAACATGAGGGTAGTAAACAATTTTTTACCCTTTTTTTTTTTAAACAGCCAAGCTTTGTGGAAAGAAAAATGCCATCAAACTATAGTACGGCAGGAGATAAACAATTGACCTCAAATACAATCAAACCCTCCATAAATTAAATAGTGTTTAGAACAAAAATCTATTAATTTAGTGCATATTAAATAGGAAGTTTTAACGAAACATTTCTAGTACTGTTCGTTTTTAACCAAAAATCATATTTTTACTTTTTCTGGTACTATTCATTTATACCTTTATTTATCTTTTTTTATTAAAACTAAAGTTTTTAAAGACTTTTCGTTAGTTTTCTTTATTAAATAATCAATTTATTAATGGCTTTTTCTTTATGTCAATAATTGATAGCTTATTAATTTATTAATCTATCTATAATATATAAAGCTAATGAACAGTGCATGAATAGTGCATGTCACGCATGGGGACAAAATTTTGGGGTCACTCACCCCATTCAACAAAATATTAGGACAAAATTGCCTCTCAACCAAAAAAATCCAAAAGCAACCCAATAAAAAGAGAATGGAAAATGTGAATAGTGATTTTGTGTCACCATGCTTCAACAAAAAAATTTGAACAAAAATGCCCCCAAAACAAAAAACTTCAAAAGCATTCCAAAATAATACATCAAATAAGGTATGAGCATTTTCGTCATTTTAATAGTATTTCTTTAATAATTTACTTTTTGGTGTTTTTTTTAATTAGTACCTCACAATAAGCTAGCAATAATGTGATTCAATTTCTTTATTTTTAAACACCTTCAAAACATCTTAAGAAGCGTGTAATGCTGATTTCAAAAAAGGTTTTTCGCACGCAGATAACAATGTGATTAAATAAGTTATCAAATGATTGTTTTTTTTAACAAACGATATTATCTACACTAAAGGGGAGGAGGGTGGGTTTAGTCTCACAATTGGCTAATAAAATAGGTTTTTCGCACGCATATAACAATGTGATTAAATAAGTTATCAAATAATTTTTTTTTAACAAACAATATTATCTACACTAAGGGGATGAGGGTGGGCTTAGTCTCACAATAAGCTAGCAATAATATGATTCAATCAGTTATTTATTAAATATTATTTTCTCTATTTTTAAACACATTTAAAACATCTTAAGAGGCGTGTAATGCCGGTTATAAAAAAAAGTTTTTTGCACACGGATAATAATGTAATTAAATTAATTGTCAAATGATTTTTTTTTAATAAACGATATTATCTACACTAAGGGGAAGGGAGTGTGCCTAGCCTCACAATAATATGATTCAATCAATTGTTTATTAAATATTATTTTCTCTATTCTTAATGTAAATTCTATAGAGACAGATTTTATTATGTGAATTCAGCTGTTTTAATTGGTTTATGAGGGATTTCTTCTAGCATGATCTAAAATTATTCATTTACTTCAAATATTTGACTTTTCTTTTGTCAATTTACGCATATAAATACATTTAAAACATATAAGTTGCTAGTAGAATGCCGCGATTCAAAAAATGTCTTCTGCACTCGCGTGTATGAAGGCTAATGTATTCTTTATTGTCTTTAGATATTGTACATTGTATTCAATTTTTTGTTTTGTGAACCAATAATTTTATATATTTGTTTAAATGTGAAAAATTTATGAACTTGTTTATTTTGGGATGTGCTATTCACACTTTTTTTTTTAACTTTTCACACACATTTTGTTAATTTCTGTCATTTGATTTTTTTTTTAATTCAATCGATCTGACGACCACAAATTAAGAGGATGTTTATGAAGTAAAAAGAAGTATATGGATAACATACCCCACTTTTTTTGCTAAAACTAAATTGTACATTGTTCAATGTGGTACATTATTCTATTTTGGCTAAATAGCCAAAATGGTCCCTGAAATTTGCATAACTCATCACTTTGGTCCCTGAGATTCCAAATCAATAAAAGTGGTCCTTGAGATTGTCCATCATCCATCATTTTTTTCATTTTTTTAAAAACTCCGTTAAGTGTCCCCGAGCTCTTAGCCGGAAGTTTAGGCAATTTTCAAAGCCTCGTAACTCAATCGTTTGTTAACAAAATTCGACCCGTAATATATCAAAATGAAGATAGGAAAGTGTAGAATAAGATTATACCTATTTGGAATCCCAATGGTTGCCGGATATGGCCGGAAAATAGTCTCAAAGTTAATTGGTCCGAGGGAAAACTTGAAAACTCGCCGGAAACTGGGTAAACTTTAAATGTTCATAACTTCTTCAATACTCAATGAAATCAAGTGATTCAAAAACGAAAATCATACTTCTCGACAAGACAAAGAGAATGGTACCTTTTTTATGGTTAACTCGCCGTGGTTTGGCCAAAAAACAGCTCGAAAGTGGCTAACTCGAGACCAAGATAGCCACTTTCAAGCCGTTTTCCTGCCAAACTACGGCGAGTTAGCCATCGAAAAAGGTACCATTCTCTTCGTCTTGTCGAAAAGTATGATTTTCGTTAAGTGTTGAAGAAGTTATGAATGTTTAAAGTTTACCCAGTTTCCAACGAGTTTTCCAGTTTTAACTCAGACCAGTCAACTTTGAGGCTATTTTCCGACCATCTCTGGCAACCATTGGGCTTGCAAATAGGTATAATCTTATTCTACACTTTCTTATCTTCATTTTGATATATTATGGGTCGAATTTGGATAACAAACGATTGAGTTACGAAGCTTTGAAAATTGCCTAAACTTTCAACCAAGAGCTCCGGGACACTTAACGGAGTTTAACGTAATGACCAAAATGATGGATGGTGGACAATCTCAGGGACCACTTTTATTGATTTGGAATCTCAGGGACCAAAGTAATGAGTTATACAAATCTCAGGAACCATTTTAGCTATTTAGCCTTCTATTTTATAAACATTTAACCAAGCCTAAGCTCTATTTAAATAAACAAAGACTATAGTAACATTAAATTATTAATTTATATACTACGCGATACTTATATGACTATCCAAAATTATTATTTAACCGAGATTATTAATTTGTCGAAGTTCTACTGTAGTTGGTTTATGGATGTTAGGTTATCAAACTTGGAGTAGAATTCTCTCCTCTCTTTTTTCCCTCCCTTTCCTCCCTTCCTATTTGAACGGTCACGGTTAAACCACGTCAACATCTTATATTATTTTTTTATAGAAAGAAAAAGACAAAATAGAGAATGTGAGAAGAATGGATGAAAAGAACAGAAGAAAGAATCTTAGTCCATCAAACTTAACATTAACGTGAACGGAAACTAAATGTAGGTGGCATGTATTGTCAAAAATGTTTTATGTAGTTGATGTAATTCTTTTAGTTTGGACGATATATGCATAAAGGGTGTCAATTTTAATATTTTAAAAATTACTAGGCGGTTGGTGGTTTTTTTAATATTAATTAAGTACATGTGTAAATATTAGAGCATTTTATATTGGTTTTATAACATTTTATGGCTGTGGGTCTGCTGTCCCGGATTCCATGTCTCCTTGGTGTCTCTTTGTTTAGTTTGATGACACGTGTTTTACAATTTAACCCCACAAAACGCTGTTACTTTTTATAAAATAAATTATAAAAAATTCAAAGAAAAAAGAAAACTGCCGAGACCCACCCAAAACTCCCGATACCCAGAATTTTTGCAGTTAAATTTTTCACTGGTGAGGTGCATCACTCTCTACTGAGAATTGTTCTGTTGGACGGTGATTTAGAAGTCACCGTACCGTTTCTCTCCCAGGTGCATCTCTCCCTCTTGAAAATTGCATAACATTGCTATCATGATTTGATCAGATCTGGAAAAAAAGCAAACTAAAAAATAAGAGCACCGGCCGTTTAGCTCCCAATTGCAGAAACACGAGGGCTCCGGCCACCGATCTCGCTGGTCTCTTTATTTACCAACACATCGTCGTCATCTTCTTCTTCAGCCTGATTTTCGAATTTTTCTACTTTGCTCTTTGCTGTGTTTGCGATGGCAAGGCGGATGAGCACAGAAGCCGAATGGCTCTCTCCATGCCTGGGATTTTAGTTTTTTATTTATTTATTAATTAGTTTTATTCATACTTAACAGTGTTAGATGTTGGCGTCAAGTAAGAGACACGTCAAAAAATTAAAAAAAAAAGACACAAATGAGACAGAGAGTACGGGACAGCAGTCCTGGAGCCACATTTTATAAATCAATACCATTGTTCGGCCTTGTCTTCACATTTTGAAAAAGTTAGGCCGTGGTTTTGTTTTTCCTGTGTACCATACAGCTCGAGGTTTTTGTTGTATGATTACGCAAGTATATTCGAAGGGAAAAGGATCCGGCGACTTAGGATCTAGTAATTATGTTCGTTTTTCGTATATTGTATTGTAAGAAATCATTTAAAATTCAAATATAAATAGTACCTAACGAAAATTGAGTTCACGATATATAATGAATGAACAAAATTGTATGATCCCTAAGAAAAATGACCCTGCGATGATCCTTTTCCTATTCGAAGTATGTTAGACTGCCTCACTTGAAAGTTTGAAACCAATGACTGGCTATATGCATCAATTAGGCAAAAATATTTACTCGAAGTATTTACAAGATGGTTCATAACTAGCTTAGTTACGATTCTTGAATAAATAATAAATAAAGTAATTAAATTTATAAATATAAAATTTTGAAATTACTGTCAAAGAGATGTTTTCAAGTGGCACTCTAGAAAAAAAAAAATACCAACGAAGGATTTAACCTTGTTGATTTTAGTGAATAAATCTCATTTTTGTTGAGAGTGACCTTGCAAGTCGGTTGAGTTGGAATGATGAATTTTTAATGAATTTCTAGAAAGAGAATAAAAAATATAAAAAATAAAAACTAATTTTTTTCTTCCGAGAAAAAAAAAAGGCAATAATTCACCTTGATATCATGAGTTAGATTACGAATTAGGGTGCGTTTGGTACGTGGGACGGGACGGGACGGAACGGGACGGGACGGAACGGGACGAGGCGTTCCGTCCCGCGTTTGGTGCGCCAAAAATGGGTGGAACGGGCTGTTCCACGGGACAGATTTTGGGTGTTTTTGCGTTCCACCTCCCCCCTGGAACGGGTTTGTTCCACGTCTGTGGAACACAATGTTTTACCATTTTAAGACAAATATACCCCATGTCTGTTTCAAAAATTACACCTTCGTTCCGTCCCGTCCCGTCCTGTCCCGTCCCGTCCCGTCCCGTCCTGTCCCGTCTGCGTACCAAACGAGCGACCGGTTTCGTGACAAGGCAAATAATAGAGCCACTTACCTAAGAGCATTTTTTTTCTTTTTTTCTTTAAAAGGGGAATAACTGGTGAAAAGGGAATAACTAATAGCAAGTCATGATTATACATCCCGGCTGAGAAGACTTACAAAGGTATTTTAGTCTCTTTCTAACCACAAGTCTGACTTTCACATCAATATCGGATTAAACGACTAGGCAAATGCCTAAGAAAATTAAATTTGATGAGTCGCATAAGCAAACTTGGCTCTAAGGGACTAGGCAACTGCCTTATGGAAAGTTTAGGTAAATCGGACTCCACCATCTTTTTATTAAATAAAGAACACGAAACATGCATATCATCTAGGCATTTTCTCAAGAGTGGTGCTATCCACTTATTTTTGTTAATTTTTATATTATCTCTCCCACATCTCTATAAATTTTTGTCGATCATCTTCAATTCATTTGATTTGAGATTGGGAAAAATTTATGAAAGACAAAAATGGGTGTGGATAGCACCACCATTCCCTAATCAGTTGCCTTATCCTTTGGAGTCACACTAGTACTTCATAAGGCAAATATTGAAGACAAACTGCTACTTAACCCATCAAAGTGCACATTTGCCTCAATATTTTGGGTGGACCTGATGAGCAAATTTGTTGTATCATCTAGTTATATCTTGTTATGTCTACAACATTAATCAAAATTTTGGCTAATACATATATATCAACCGGAAATACATCTGTTCTCATTACTTTCAACACATTAAAGACAAGAAGAAGGCAAGAAGAAGGCAAACTACAACAAGTTAACTAAATATATGGTAAACAAGATAAAATAGGACAACGCAATCATATTGGCAGAGTTTTATACATGATACTTGCAATCATCAAATCTTATCATTTGAAGCAAATGGAAAGAGCCTGTGCTAGGTGTGCAACACCTTCCCGACAACGTCCATGTTAGCTTCGTGTTAGAGCACGTCAGATTCGGATTATTCTGAGGATCTCCTATAGGTGTCTCTTGTGGAAACAAAAAAGGCTTTGGAGGCATTTGCAGGCATTCAGCATCTCCTTCAGCTTCAAGCATCTCTATGACTTTGTTCATTGAAGGACGATCACCTGGTTTCATTTGTATACACCATAAGGCCGTTATAACCATCTTTTTTACCATCTTCTTTTCCTCTTCAGTGGCATCGCTCATCTCCAAATCTTTTCCTTCATTATATCGATCATACACCGATGTTGGCAAGTAAAGTTGGCTTGAATGCTCTGCCAATGCGTCCAAATTCTTCCTTCTGCTTGCCATTTCCATTAGCAACATTCCAAAACTATAGACATCAGCCTTGTACGAGACACCTCCAATATTTTTGTAGAACAACTCAGGAGCCATATATCCCATTGTTCCTCTTGCAGCCGTCAACGAGACAATGCTATTATCTGTTGGATATAATTTTGCGAGGCCAAAATCAGAAATCTTTGGGTTGAAATTCTCATCAAGAGAATATTGTGAGGCTTAATATCGAAATGCAGAATTTGCATGTCACAACCTCGATGTAGATATTCAATCCCTCGAGCTACTCCAAGAGAAATCTGATACATTTTCTTGTAGCTTAAATACGTAGTTCCTTCTTTCAAATAAACATATTTATCAAGAGACCCGTTAGGCATGAAGTCATAGACTAGACAACGGTTTGATCCCTGGACACAATAACCAACAAGTTGGACCACGTTAACATGGTGAATCCTCCCAATGGTAGCTACCTCGTTGACAAAATCTTGTCCATTAGCTTTAGACTTGCCCAACATCTTAATAGCTCCAAAACGACCACTGCGCAAATTTCCTTTAAATACACAGCCATAGCCGCCTTCACCCAGTTTATTCTTGAATCTATTAGTCATCTTCTTAATGTCCGAGTAAGAATATCTTATTGGGATAATACAGGTATCGCCTTGTAGAAAGTCTTCTATAGCGCTATACATTGACAAATTCCTTCTCCTTTTCCAGATCCAAATCCAAACAACACATGAGGCCCCAAACATCAACTTTCCCACTGCTAATGCTCCTGCTTGGGAATTTTAAAACAAAATCATAAGAAAACATAAATCATATTACATACCAAACTCACGATGTTTTGCATCGATGAAGAAGACAAATAGCTTACCAATGCTGATGATCGCTAGTGCCCGAGATCCTGCAAGAAATATAATCAAAGCTAAGAAAATCAAAAGACATGCTTCCAAATCTTACTCCCCCACTTCTTCCGTTATCATTTTCATAATTAACACATGTTCAGAAAGTTCATCATATGATGATACTATATATTCTTTTCAGCAAAATTAGAGTTTAAAAAAATAGTGAATGCATATATAACTCTAATTAATTCACAAACCTGTGAAGCCGGACGGATCTATTGGAGAGCCAAGAGAATACTGAAGCTCAAAGCCATACACCAGAGCATTGTGTATGTAACAGTAAGAAGTTGCGTTTCGGTGATTTTCAGTCCAGGAAGCCATGGCCGTCCACCCTATGCTGCACCCCTCCTCCAAATCTGACGCAATCATTGGGCCCACGGCGACATAACTATAGGTTTTTAGTTGGGACAAAGTAAGTAGTACTACCACTCCTGGAAATATTTATGCACGGAGCTGTCTCCACGTACAGCGAGGAGTTCACTGGACTAGCACAATTCAAGAAAGTTATAGCTCTTGAAATCCATACCATACGATAATGAATATCATAACTGTATACACTATACGGAGATCCAAAAATTATTGAATCGGATGATAAAGAATAGAGAGGAACGGAGGAGCAATTATTGTGATCAAAACCAGGATCTACAACTCGGATTGTGTTGTTATTGTAGTTGATTGACTTGACGTGGTATCTTCCCGAGTTAAAGCGTAACACTGTCACGTTGTCCTCGCAAAACAGATTATACATTGATTCACCGCAATTCTTCGGGTCATCTTGGAGTCGAAAAGGGTAGCTTATGTTCTGAATATTGCCACAGGAAGAAGGCGGACAAGATGGTGAAGTTTCACCCAATAAGGCATTTGTAAAAAACGCCACAACTACAAACCGCGCGGACAAGGCCTTTCCACTTTCCATGAAGAGAAAGCAAGCTATCGGCTCTCTCTCTCTCTCTGAGCTGAAGGCCTTCCACGTTGGTTTTTATTAGCTCATGGGACTCTCTCTCTCTCTCTCTCTCTCTCTCTCTCTCTCTCTCTCTCAAGCTGAAGGCCTTCCACGTTGGTTTTTATTTGCTCATGGGACTCTCTCAAGCTGAAGGCCTTCCACGTTGGTTTTTATTTGCTCATGGGACTCTCTCTCTCTCTCAAGCTGAAGGCCTTCCACGTTGGTTTTTATTAGCTCATGGGACTCTCTCTCTCTCTCTCTCTCTCTCTCTCTGATCTGAAGGCCTTCCACGTTTGTTTTTATTAGCTCATGGGACTCATATATCGTAGAATTTTTCAAGTTGACTGGCCGATGACCACCCCAACAATATTGATACTATCCTCACTTTACCACTTGCCTAATCTGTCAAGTGTGAGGTTTTATCACAAAAGGTCTTGGTTTTAATTAGAGTAGGATAATTCTATTTAAATGGCTCTTTCTCCTTCCCTCTGTCCGATATGGGACAAATGAGTTTCAACACTCACCCGCACGCGAGATCCCATTTTATGGGTCACACATAGAGATCCACACATTGACAACCACGTGGAGCCAAGTCGAGGCTCACCCATCGCGCGGGGCCAAACGAGGACTCATCCAATCACGTGGCAGTACGAGTCTGTCCCCTGGCTCTGATATCATGTAAAAAAATTTAAGTCGATGAGCCGAGAACCCTCTACAACAACATCAATATTGTCCCTACTTTACCACTGACCCAATCCGTCAAGTGTGAAATTTTTTCACAAAAAATCTCAATTTTAATTAAAGTAAGATAATTCTATTTAAATGGCTCTTTCTCCTTCCCTCTGTCCGATGTGAAACAAATGGATCCCAGCATAAATTACAATCAGCAATTTTCTCAGTCTTATTAGGCAGAAGTTTTCTGGCTCACCGCGATTCCATTCTACAGGATTAATATCAAAATTTCCGGCCCACTGTTGAAAGACTTTAATTACATATGGCCCTTCGACTTTCCCTGCTTGCCCATTAATGGTATGGAAGAATTTAGTAGCAGCTGATGCTTACATCCAATCCCGACTTACTTTTCCTGCTTGCTCATTAATGGTATGGAAGAAGAACAAAAAGTCAAGGGATTTAACTTCGCTGCTCAAGAATTCCGTAACACAACCGGGATTGGGTGTAAGTAGCAGCTGCTGCTGAATTTGCAGCAGCCAAGTCCAGTTCAAAGTCAAGACCGTGTTGGTTGGACAAATATTGGGAAGGCGTCACGTCATGATTGCTCAGTAATTTGGGTTAGAGCAAACAAATCCGGATCTTCTTTGTGAGGATTCTGAAAATTCGTAAATCATGTTCATTTATCATACATTTTGCAATCATAAATCATTTTAAATTTTTTATTTAAAATTAAATATAAATAGTACCTGACGAAAACTGATCGCACGATGTATGAACGAACGTAATTTATAGATCTTCGAAAACTTCACAAAGAAGATCGAGAGGGGATCCTCTTGGAGAGCAAACGAAGACCGGCACTGAAAAAGTAGCTAGTACTTTTCTCTGAAATTAAGTATCTAAAATTTTTTTTTTATTATATATTTATACAACAATGTATTTATATTAAAAAGTGGGAGAATAATTTAGTTTTGAACTCGTTTACAAGAAGAATACCATTAAATTTAGACGTATGTCAACCGTTAAATTGTTTGATTTGGACAAAAGGGATAGATGGTTATTTTAAGAAAACTTTAACAAAAAGCTCCTGATACTGTTCACTTTAACGAAAAATCACATTTTTACACTAAAAAGTCAATTCTGATACTATTCACTTTACCATTTATTTTGTCCTTATTATTAAAATTCAAAATTTTCAAGCTTTTTACATTAGTTTTCCTTTATTTGAAATCAAATTAGTTACTTCAATGTTGATTTATTTTAGTAAATGTCATAAATATAGTACCATAACTTAATCAAGATTAGAGTTAATAGTATCATATGTGAATACCATTTTTTTTCTCTGCTCAGAAATGAAGTAAATACTACTCATCTCTTCCTTTTTCGTATTGTTAATAGCCTTCTCCAAAGTGCTTGGGGAAACTCAGAATGGCTGCGAAGAATTGAAGTGCGGGGATCAAGGCCCGCCTGTCCGTTTCCCTTTCATCCTCAAAGATAGACATCCAGATCACTGTGGCTATCCTGGGTTTGTTGTGTCATGCAATGAGAAACAAGAGACGGTTCTCGAGCTTCCAATTCCGGCCAAATTCTCTGTCAAAATCATTGATTATAAGTATCAGGAAGTCCATCTATACGACTCAGATAATTGCTTGCTGGTAAAAGTTTCAGAAATCCTCAACACTTCAATCTCTCCTTTCCACTTCTCAGAAGAGTTTCAGGACAACCTTGCCTTATTCAAATGTTCTTTAGATCTTGAAAGACGACAGTACGTTCACGTTTTAAATGGCACCTGCCTTACCAGCCCCGGCCATCACGTTTATGCCATTGATCCCGACTACGAAATTGATAACCTGCAGTCTTGTACAAAGATACGTAATGTTTTATCAGTTCCATCTTCGGGTGTTCTGAAATGGTCTAAACCACACTGCACAGAATGTGAAGCGGGGGGAAAGAGGTGTATACTGAAGAACAACGGGAACAAAAGCGAAATTGAATGTGTTAACCTGACAAAAGCAAGTAATATTCTGCTTGACATATATTCTGTTCAAAAGCAAAAGCATTTTTAAAATAATGATTAATACTCTCTGCTGGGGAATAGGATGAACTGAACCGCTACAATTAATTTCATGACTAACAATATGCTTTTTCAAAATATCATTTGCAGGTGAAGCAACAAAACTAGTGGCTACCAGCGAGTCACCTAACTGATCTTCTGATTTGTAACATTTCATGTCTAACACATATTGAGGATAGATACTTATCTTTCGGGATTTCTAGTAGGTGCAACCTTGGGTTCATTCACCTTCTTGCTACTAGTCGTTGCAGTCTCTCAGGTCCATAGCTATGATACAAAGGAAAAAGAAAATCAAATTAAGATTAGAAGATTTTTACAAGATTACAAAGCTCACAAAGCAAGCAGGTATTCCTACGCAGATATTAAGAGGATCACAAACCAATTCCAGGACAAGTTAGGCCAAGGAGCCTATGGAACTGTTTTTAAAGGAAAGCTTTCTTCTGAATGCTTTGTTGCTGTAAAAGTTCTCAATAGTTCCAATGGAAATGGGGAAGATTTCGTAAATGAAGTTGGAACGATGGGACATATCCACCATGTCAATGTGGTTCGCTTGGTTGGTTTCTGTGCTGATGGATTTAACAGAGCTCTTGTTTATGAGTTCTTTGCCAATGGTTCACTGCATGATTTCATTTCATCGGCAGACAATAACAATCGCCTTCTCGGTTGGGACAAGTTGCAAGATATTGCTCTAGCTGTAGCCAAGGGAGTTCAACATCTTCATCAGGGATGTGATCAACGAATCCTCCATTTCGACATCAAACCTCATAATGTATTGTTAGACGATAATTTCACTCAAAAAATTTCGGATTTTGGTTTGGCCAAGTTGTGTTCTAAGGATCAAAGCATAGTGTCCATGACTACAGCTAGAGGGACAATGGGATACATTGCACCTGAAGTGTTCTCCAGGAACTTTGGAAATGTGTCCTATAAGTCGGACGTCTATAGTTTTGGGATGCTGCTCCTTGAGATGGTAGGGGGAAGGAAGAACATTGATTCAACCTCCGAAAACACAAATGAAATTTACTATCCAGAATGGATCTATAATCTTCTAGAAGAAGGAGACGACCTACGAATCCATCTGGGAGAGAAAGGAGATGGTAAAGCTCCAAAGAAACTTGCAATTGTAGGGCTCTGGTGCATCCAGTGGCACCCAGCGGGTCGTCCTTCCATGAACGAGGTTGTTCAGATGTTGGAAGGAGGAGAAAACTTAACCATGCCCCCCAATCCTTTTGCTTCTACCGGTCCTGCACGAGCAAATGCAACTGCGCCTGCGAAAAATCTAAACATTCAGTTAGAAGCTATTGCTGAATTAGAGTAATATATCTACTTAGATATATAGATAGATATGTACGCACACACTTATGTATGTAACTAAGAGCTCATGAGAAGTGTAACCATTGTACACCTAATTAAAGTACATTCAAGGTGTGTGTGTGACTATGTAAGTACATTCAAGGTGTGTTGGATTGCTTAGTTTTTCACTTGAAACCAATGGCTGGCCAAAATGCATCACTTTTCTACGAAACTTTGATGCAGAAATCATTACTCAAGTTTTTACACCACAGTTCTTAACTAGCTTCCATAGACATATTGTTGCCATGTTTGCTTAGTTATGATCCTTGAAAGTTTCTAGGTTCTCAGATCCAATTCAAACGATCTGTTTTGCCAAATTTTTCTTTATTCAATATTTTTAAATGTTGAGAAAACGATAATTGCGCGACATGGTGGATTTGGAATGATGAAATATCAGCGGGAATTCTTTTTTTTTTTTTTTTTACGCAATAATTCACTTTAGAATGAGTTATATGTATTACCAACTAGAGGATTAGTCTAGTCACATCTCTTAATGTTGAAATAAATCTCAAGTTTAATACCTACTTCCACCAAATTGTTGGTTACACATTAATTTTATGAGGAAATAAATAAACTACTGGAAAGGAAATTATTGGCAAGTGTGAGTGGTTTTATATATTTTACTATAACAAGTTTTGTGAGGTTGAATTCTGTAAAACTTTATTTTTTACCTGGAAACTATATACGTATCACTTATCTTGTTGTATAGCATGTCATCCCCACCCAAGGTTTTCTCTTCACATTTAGTATGGAATACCAAAACTTGCCTAACAAAGCCAATTCATTAGCAAAACTAATTATTCGGCCGAACTTTACTTCGAATGTTAGTCGAATGAAACAATATGAATCATAAATTAGGATGTAGTTGGACGTGCATGGGTGCTTGGTGAATCAAGAACCTTAATGGATTTGGGATACCCAACAGTCAACACGCACACAATATAAGTTAGGAATGAAGATTGTCGTATCAGTTGGCTATACCAAAAGATTTTTTGGCATCCGGAGGATTATTCTTTCATAAAAATTTCCAAAGATGAGGATGAGGTGTAAAAGTTGAACTAATCAAGTTTGAAAAATCAACTATTTACATATATAAGAGGATCCTGATTGATGTGTTACGTTGATTTGAAGTTATGGAGTAAGACATTTATTTAAAATTAGCAAAAAAATGTAACAAGTAGAAAAAGGGTTGTCTAAATGGTGGGGTAGTCATTGACACATGACCTAAAATAGAGGAAAAATCATACAGTTTACTTTTTAAGTCTTTAAGGAACAAGGGTGGCAGGTTCCAAGTTGGAATAATGCAATTTTCACACAATTTTTTCTCTATTTTAGGTCATGTGTCAATGATTACCCCACCATTTAGACAACCCTTTTTCTAATTGTTATATATATATATATATATTTTTGCTAATTTTAAATGAGTGTCTCACTCCATAACTTCAAGACCATTCTTCAAATCAACGTAACACATCAATCATGATCCTCATATATATAAATAGTTGATTTTTCAAACTTATTGATATTTGATTAGTTCAACTTTCTCATCTTTGGAAATTTCTATGGAAGAATAATCCTCTGGATGCCAAAAAATCTTTTGGTATAGCCAACTGATACGACAGTCTTCATTCCTAACTTATATTGTATGCGTGTTGACCATTGGGTATCCTAGATCCATGAAGTTTCTTGATTCACCAAGCAACCACGCACGTCCAACTACATCCCAAACTATTGTGTTTAGTTTATGATTCATATTGTTTCATCTGACTAACATTCGAAGTATTATATGAGCTCATACATAACAGTTTAATCTCATATACAGACATATACTAGAGAAACCTCATTATAGCATGGCTCATACATAAAGGTAACCGTAAATGATATTACATGCATACATCTCTATTTAAAAAAAAAAAACAAATGCATTCTACTCTAGCGTTTGCGGTTAAAATTTCGTGATAGATGCAACAACAAAATATTCTACCACATCAAGTGAAAAGGACATGGGGTGCAATTTGTTAGTATTCAAGCAAAATCGCTAGGCCATCATACAGGCCACATAGGTTTATGCAAAGGGCTGATTCCCAAGGATACTCTACACTTTGTAAGAAAACAAATGATCTAGTTTTCATAAAAATGCAGACTTTTCACTATAAACATATGTTCCGTTTTTACCCTTGAGGTCATCTGTAAGATTAACATAGATCCCAAGAGGCAGCAATTCTCTCTCATTCATCTAGAAGAAGCAACCAATTTGAAGTTATCGAAAGCGCTTGTTGAAGGAGCTGCAATCTATCTTTCTTTTTACTATTCTTTTTCTGGTGATTGAACCCATTCATAAATAAGCAACTAGATGCAGAGAAAAATGTAGCTTTCCCTAATGGACGCCATGTAACTCAATAATGACATTTTAAGATCAGATTGCAGGAAACCTCGATGATAAGTATAGACGCTCTCACTAGTAAGCCTAAGTCTCAAAGTTGGTTAAGAAAAACAGATTGACAAAACTGTGATGTGAAGGCTAATTAAGCAGGTGAAATGTAGATCATGGTCATCCGTGCCAATGGGCCAAGGAGACCAAAAATATTGAAAAGCTTGATAAGCTAGTCAGTCTATTCTAGACAACCAGGTGATACTATTCAATTAAACCTCAAGCTGGCATAAATTAATACCAGTCCTCCAATCACAACCTCATCATTTTGATCACCCCGACGGAATTCTCTCTTATTATGCAGTTACTCAATACCGTGTCCTTTCCTGCAGTAATTTCTAAGTACATTATATTATAACGCTAACTCGAGTGATCAAACATCGCGAAGCTACGCCTCACTTTCTACGATTGAACACTTTCGAAATGTCATTTTTATACGTGTGTGTGTTCTTGCTTACTAAAATGCTCAATTCACTACGACATACAGCAACAACAGTTTTCAACTATCTTGTAATGACGCTGACACCGCAAGAAATCACAGATCTCTGTAAATTTGTGCGAGTCTGATTCGGGACAGTGCAAAATCCACACACAGACATAGAAACACACATATCCTCAATAAAGAATTAATCCGTACCTTATCAGCATTTTCTTTCGCTTTCTCGGCCTTTTCTCTCCCGCTCCTTTCTCTTCACAAATTAAAAAAAAAAAAAAAAAAAAAAAACAGAACAAGTTGATTCGACTACAGAAATTCAATAAATTCAAAATATCATTTTTGATCGGACAAAACATAATAATAACATAAACACAGATTCAAATCTGATTGAAAAATTAGTATTATAAAACAAAGTTAAAAAAAAAATTAAAAGAGAGGAGAGAGAGCTTGGGGTTGCGTACCTGGATGTAGACATTCTCGGTGGCGCGCTCCTCCTCGCTGAGGATTTTGCCTTTGCCTGCGCTCAAGTAGCGAGTAGGGGTGAGTTCAAAAAATCGAAAACCGAAAAAAAATTGAACCGAACGAAAAACCGAATCAAACCGAATTCTTTTGGTTCGGTTTCGGTTTCAGTGGTCTAGAAACCGAACCGAACTGAACCGAATCAAATTAATTAAATTAATATTTTTTTATTTAATTATCTTTTTTTAGTATAGTTTTGACTGTGCTCTTCGAAGATAAATCAATGAATCAAATGCGATGGCTGTCCTGCCTCTTTTATGTTTTCAGGGGAACCCGGTTTCCTTTTAGCTTAGCAACTAATTGGAAGAGCATTGCGTATTCCGGGGGCACTGTTCATTGGTATGATAAGCCAGGTTAGATTCTGCTTATGTTCAATTCCGGGGGCACTGTTCATTGGTATGATAAGCCAGGTTAGATTCTGCTTATGTTCATATCAAAACATCTTGCTTATTTCTCAGTCATACTAAAAAATCACCTATGTTTATATGATGTGGCAGAAATGCGAAAGCAGTGGCATATGAGTCATATCACCATTGTCGGACCTTCCCTGGGCAATGTCGAAAAACTTCTAGAGTCGGTGCTATGAAGAAAGATCCAATAGTCAGTCTGTAGGTAGTTGTAATAGGGTGGTTTCACATGATTATTCTGAGGTTGCAGGTCCTATGCGAAAGCCAGGTTAGATTCTGCTTATGTTCATATCAAAACATCTTGCTTATTTCTCAGTCATACTCAAGAATCACCTATGTTTATATGATGTGGCAGAAATGCGAAAGCAGTGGCATATGAGTCATATCACCATTGTCGGACCTTCCCTGGGCAATGTCGAAAAACTTCTAGAGTCGGTGCTATGAAGAAAGATCCAATAGTCAGTCTGTAGGTAGTTGTAATAGGGTGGTTTCACATGATTATTCTGAGGTTGCAGGTCCTATGTGATTATATGGTTGTATGTATGAACCTTAGCCGGCTTCATTATTACATGTACCAGTAAATTTCATAAATGACGAATTGTTGTTGTGGAAAATTTACTGTAAAATTGGAAGAGTACAAAGGGAATGAAAATGGTTGAATTTTATTGTAAAAAATCGAACCGGACCGAAACCAAACTGAAAAAAACCAAAACCGAAAATAAACCGAAGAAAAACCGAACCGAACCGAATAGTAACTTCAGTTTGGTTTTCGATTTCGGCCAAAAAAACTAACCGAACCGAACCGAACCCACCCCTAGTAGCGAGTGGCTCCCTGAGACGACTCGATGGAGCGAGTGATCAATGCTAGAGTTAGCACTGCCACGCTCTGATCGGATCTCATTGCCGCCATCGCTTTTTGCTTTTTAGTTTGTTCGTTTGTTTGTTTCTACTGCTAATAGTAAATTAGTAACAGAGCAACTTTCACTTATATTGGTTGCATTACACCTATATGGTTGATAAAATAAAAAATAAAAAATATGTGAAGCTTGATCTTATCGGTTAAGTGAGATGGATCCATTATCAATGTCCTTTAACATATATCTATATATGTATATAATTGAAAATGCTATGACATGGTTGAGTATTAGATTGCATCATTGTATATCTATATGTATATTACCTACTCGTAATTATTGTGAACGCTTTGAAGTGCAAAGGTGAAAACAGGACACCTAGGTAAGTTCAGGTGAGTTTATGGTATTAGTTGAAGTGATGGAGTTATGGCATGACTACATGTACATTTTCGGCAACTCCGACATTGTCATACAGGTTGCCCATGAGT